GCCCCCCCCCCCGCCAATTTGATGGATGTATTAAAAATACTTGCCACCAAATCTGTTATGTGCCTGTTTTTTTTTCAGAATCCTGGCATTGAAATTATCTAGTTCTTCTGCCCTATGTATTGTAGCCCTACTTCTTTATTTATAAAGGTGGAGAACCCTTTTCTCTTTAATATCCTTTGCTAGGTGGATCCAGCTGGACTCCTGGCATTTTTCACTTTATTCCTACATTGCTTGACCCTGAAATTTTAGCTTTCTTTGCTGATTAATCGTTTTCCCATCTTTGTAGGCTCTCTGCTTATTCCTAACTTGTTCTTTCAGGTTTTTATTAAGTCATTGTTGTCTGGAGCCCTTTCATACAAGTAGCAGGTACCCCTGCTATGTTGTGTTTATTTAAATCTATTAACTGAAATGCAACATATACGTTAGTGTGCTTCCTTTGTGTGATACCTTTTTAAGGTTGAGCTCATTTCTGTGTGGTCAGATTACTATAGCATTAACTTGGTTGGAAGGCTTAAGAATATTACACTGATTCTACTGTTATTAAAATAAGCAAAATGCAATGTAGTGAATAGGAATATAAAATTAAAGCCCATAAATATAGTTTGAATTTCTTGCACATTTTTAGATTAAAACTTACTAAACTGCTGCACTTTTCTGAGGGTCTCTAAAATAAGGAATAACAAATACAGTAACTTGCAAATTACTTTCTATCTTTTATGTAAAAAAATAACGTGTCAGTACATTAGCTAAAGAAGTATTATAGTGTGTATGGAGAGAGAGGCATACAGGAATTGCACACTCAGGGAAAGGACACGTGTTAACTCATTTAAAATGCATATCTCTGAAAGTTTGTTCTTTCCCCCCTACAGATCTGATACCCCTCTGATATATAAAGCTGTTCCAAGCTGGTTTGTAAGAGTAGAGCACATGGTGGAGAAGTTGTTGGAGAATAATGCTCAATGCTACTGGTAATGTATCTTGTATATATTTTCAGTTTAAGAATTGCTTATTCTTAATTTCTCAACTTTTATTCAGTAATATACAGTAATACTTAGTAATACACAGTAAAATTACTGTTTTATTTCTTTTATGTCCTAAATTACTAAAATGGTGACATGGACAAAGCCCAGAGCAGATTCCCAATTTGAGGTTTGTTTGTAAAACTGGAAGTGGGTGAGAGCATAGGAGCGATGTTTTTGGTGCTAATGATAACCTGTATAGTTGATAGAGGTTAACACCCTCTGCTTTAGTATAACATTCCAGAAAACATCTACTTTAAGATGCAGCTAGTGTTAGGATATACCAATTACTTAATATAATGCATTAAAGCAGTGTTCGGCAACATTTTCGGCTGACGGTCCAGTATCAACCTAACTGGGTTCTGAGGTAAGCTAGCACTAGGACCTAGCTGCTGCTGCTGCTGCTTCCCCCTTCTACCCTCCCCAAATACTGCTAAAGCCAGCCCCACAGCTCTGGGCCAAACCCTGTGGGATGAATCTGGCCAGCAGGCCATAGTTTGCCAAACCCTGCATTAAGGTATCTTGCAATTATTTCAGCACCACGTTATAAACCTGGAAAAGCCCAAATAAAGCTTAAATCCAAGTGTGTAAAAGCATGGAAAGGTTCATTGAGAGCAACCAGACAACCGTAACTCTGTCCTTTAGTGGTACTATGCAATAAGCATATGATTATGATTTAGGCATTTTATTATGTATAATCCCTGGTAGGATGAAATTTGTTTTGAAAAAAAAAAAAAAGTCTCCCCCATATTATGTTGCTATAGGACAGTTACGGTTATTTGAAATGCTGTACTTTATGTATTTCTGAAACGTCAAGAAGTTAAGTGAAAACTGTGATAGATAAAAATGGGGTGTTTGGCTAAAAATCACTTAGGAAATGAAAGGGATGTACTTGGTAGCCGAGTTAGTCTGAGACCTACAAAAAGACGTACAAAAAACTAGAAGTCTTGGTTCCAAAATGATACCTTTTATTAGACCAGCTGGAAAATGGCAAGAAAATTGTCCTTTTCTGCAAGCTTTTGGGATCAAAGTCCCTTCATCAGGCTCTGGGAAAAGTGTAGATGGTACAATATGGTAAAAAGTCCCCATAAGTAGGAAATAAACTTCATTTTTGCACAGAGGGAGCTGGAGATGGAAGGCTGTCCCTCTGGGTCCATGAGAGTGTCTTTGTGAGCTGTG